TTCTACGGAAAATAAAGCTAAGTTTATTATTAATTCTAGGGAGAGGACCCGCAAGATGTTGGTTTTTTTTTTCCAGCAAACCAAGGAACACATCAAACCTGTGCAGTCATATGGGATGGGGAAGGAAGGCCCCCTCTAAAGTGTGTGGTCCCCCCCCCCCCCATAATTTTTATTTGGGGGGGGGGGGCCCTCCCCCCCCCCCCCCCCTGGAAACGATCTGGAGCCCGCCCGCCACCCACCCACCAAGCCCGGCACCCCCCCCCCCCCCTCCCCCACACCCGCCCCATGCCCTCGAGCCTCGCCTACACGGATAAAAAGAAATCAGCCACGGCGGCTGCACAAAAACACAAAAATGAATGCAGCTGACTGGGAAGAGAGAGCGGGCCGGAGAGAGGCGAGCCGCGCCTACGGGCATCACGTTGCGGCGTGAGCGTCGAGACGAGGCCGCCGGCGCGCTCTCTCGCGTCCTCGGCGCTCGGACTGGAGCCGGGCGGCGATTGGCGAGCAAGCGAGAGCGGGTCGCTCTCTTGCCAGAAGAGAGGGAGGGCGGTCGCGCGCGCGCGGGACAAGGGTGGGGAATGGGCAGCAGCGGACGCGTCTCGCGACCTCCTCGATGGCAGCGGCTGTACCTGCGAGCGGGAGTAGGCAGGCGGTGCGAGGCCGAGGGGGGTACAGCCGCTCGCGCCGCGAGCGAGGGCGCATCGCGTGGTAGGGGTGGTGAGGGGGCGGCGGGTTCCGTGAGCAATAGGCGTCGCGGGGGTCTAGGTGTGCAGCTCGCGGCGGCATAGTCGGGCGCAATGCGGCGCGGCAAGCGCGAGCGGACGAGGAAAGTGCTGGCTTTGCCTTACGACTCGCTCCCTCCGCGTAGAGCGATTCACGCAGAGAGCGGTCACATCTTCGAGTCACCGTTCACAGTTGTGCGGTGAATATGGCGCTTGTGTGGATGTCAGGTAAACGTCACAGCCCGAGCCCGAAGGGCGAAGGAGAATCCCACCCCTATCCAACAAAAGTATTCCGTAGCACGATCGAGGGGAGATCTTAGAGAGAGAGAGATTTTAGCTCCCCCCTACCCGGTTGCACTCGTGCGACGTAGCGGGGGGCCACGACTACGTTTACGAAAACATAAGTAGTCCCGCGAAGTGTGAATTTGGCCGCCCAGTTAGCCCCCTTTTCCAGTCAGGGGTTTTTTCGTGGCAAACCTCGTCATCCTGCTGAACAAGCTCCTCTTGTAGCTCGATCGGTCACACCGCCATCGCCGTCGGGGAAGAGGGGGGACGACACTGCTCTGGCAGCGTCCAGCGTGCACCTCGATCCTGTACCGTGTTTGTTATGACCCCCCCCCCAATAAACACACCAGTTAGGGAGGGCGAGACGATCGAGGGGTCCCGTACCATGCGGAATCGACCCTATCCAGAGCTCTCCGACACCTCACAGCTCCCAAACGACATCGATCTCGGACCTGCCGCTTTGCAGGCGCCCTCAGGGTGCACCGACGCTCGCCTCCTCCTCTCCTCAGGTCCGAGATCGATGTCGTTTGGGAGCTGTGCCGCGCGCTCCTGTCGCCTCCGCGAGCGCCTCCTCGACCCGCCGCGGGGCCCGGGCAACGGCCTCGAGCCGCGCTGGCGATGCTCGGCCTGCCTTCTGGCACCCTATCGCACGCACTCCCGCCAGCCGCGCGCTCCCGCGCCGTCGTGCGAGCTTCTGGCATCATCCGTGCGAGATGCGGCGTCGCGTAGCGACGGCCACACGCGGATCAGCTCGGTCACCTCGAGCGCGCTCGCTGCCTGCGCGCCAGGCAGCGCTCCTCTCTCGTCGTCGCGGCGACGAGTCGGGACGACGCCGTCGCTCGAGGCGCGTGGCCGGCGGCGCTCCTCTAGGCGGCGCTCCCTCGAGGCGCCGGGCCGACGTGACTGGGGCAGCTGCGGCGCACGACGGTGCCCAATGGCCGCCTCCGCCGTCCCCGGCTCGGCCTGTGGATCAGGGCAGCGGTCTCTCAGCTGTGCCGTCTCTGAACAGAC